AGCCACCCTCCGCTGCTGGAAAAATACTTGATATAAGGCATGTATCGTTAAATTGAAGCTTGAAAAACCCCAGGGCAAATGAATTGTTTAAAAACAAGTGTTCAAATTCCACACTTCCCGGGCTGAAAACCATAAGTGCCTTATCGTAGGTCCATTTTAGCTGGTCAAATCCCCCCACTCCTGTTAATTATGTGGGTTTACTTTAGTATAGCTTCCTTAATGCTCTTGAAACCATGTCTTCAGACCAGTTTTGATGGACAAGAGAGTGCCACCAGTGTTTGTACATAGTAGCTAAAGTTTCACACCCACACGGATGAAATAACCTTCAGTTGTTGAACAGAAACTTAAAAAATACAGCAAATGATTTGCATCCAGTACAGTAAAAACTGATAAAATACTGTGGACCAGACATTCGCTGAAGAGCCAATCTGCCACGAAGACATCGTTCAACAAGGCTTCTGCATGTCACATGAAATCAAGGCTATGGTTCAAATTCCCCACTCCTTATGGAGGAGGGCGTAAGGGGGGTACGAATACCACAATACCGCACATGGTAGCGCGAGAATACCGTAATACCGCATCACAATTTACCCAAATACCGAAACCGCAGTTACCAATGGGAAAAAGTTGACGTTGCCAATCCTACAAATCCTCCTTTCACATAGAAATAATACTTTTATTTCAGTGTTTCAAAATCAAGGTGCTTCGATGTCAAGCGTACATGTACAATGAACATAAGATCATCGCACTCGTTTAATTTTGTTCATTACACGTATATGTTTACGTAAATGATACAACAGGAGTTTCCTAGTATTACTTTCACTTTTATGAGGTTGTTTCAGGTTCACAATTAACTCGGTTCTGTGTTGAGGGTTTTAAGACGTCTACCAGGGCTGCCTTTGGGATTCGAAGGGCACACAGCACACACTAGCCTTAGGCTTGGACAAATTCTGCCGGCAGAATAGGGCTTTTTCGAGCAGAATTTGAGTAGAATAAGGGAAAGTCAGCGGCGCTAATGATTTGTATAACAGTTGTAAGAAAAATTTAAAACTAAATAAAAAACAAATGGAAAATACCTTGTGATTAATGGGATTATTAAATAGCTACAACCCATTCACATTAAAGTAAGATGAATTACAATATCTAATTAGTTTTAAGGGGTTAGGCCTAGGTTCCTTACTATATTTGCGAAAATAAATACGGCCCGAGGGCGGGGGTGTCCGAGGAGAATTTTGAGCAGAATAAGCGATTTTTACGAGCACTGCCGGCATGACAATAAGCCAATTTACGAGCAGAATTTTTCCAAGCTTAACTAGCCTGCGTAGCATGGCGGTTTTGGTTGGGCGCGCTGAATAAAAAAGGCGGACGCGGGCCAGGAGACTGGGACGGGAGCTGTTTCGCCCCTCAGTCGTGCTCCGGACTAAACCACGCAAAACCACCATGCTACGCAGGCTAAGCACACACGAAAACTACAGGGCATCTAGCATCAATTTTTGGAAAATATCTGTTCGGAAGACAATTTGAGATCTAGAATTTTCGGAATATTTGTTGTAAAATTTTTTGCTTGCCTGCCTCTCCTAGGATTTTCGAAGATGTAAAAAATGGTATAATTGCCCATTTTTGACGGATTTTTACCCTAAAAAGATCACCTAGAATTCTCGGGAGCATTTTTTCTGGCTGAAACTTTCGCAAACCCTTACCGCAAACCCTTACGCCCCCCTCCTTATGCATGGAGATCAAATTGCCCAACCCTCCGTAACCCCTGGACCCGGGCGGGGGGAGCACTTGGGTATTTTTTGGGTGGGTATATGCCGCCCGGGACTCCAAATTGGCACCCCGTTCTAGAAAAAATTTCCCCTAAAATTGATACCCCGTTCTAGAAATAGGCCAATTTTTTATACCCCGTTCTAGAATTCGCTTTAAAACTAACACCCCGTTCTAGAAATGGGCCAATTTTTTATTCTCCTTTCTAGGGTGCAACAAGAGTACAACGGTTTGCTTCTTAACGCACTCAACCGTATTTTAAAAGCAATCTGTCCTTGAATGCTTTCAAATGGCTACTTACAAAAGTGGAGAGCTTTCGTGCGTTCGAAATATTATACCCCGTTCTAGAAACCGCGTCTGAAATGGATACCCCGTTCTAAACCACGAGCTTCAAAATCACGACCCCTTTGGGCGGCACATACCCGTATAGGTAATGTATGAGAGTACCCCCGGGCCCCTGGAAGACTCTGATAGTCAAATCCCTTCCTCTGGAATTGGCAAAGGTGTCAAATACCTGGGAAATTGAAGCTTCTGTTCCTTCATGCTACGTCCATGGTGCTGCCACCACCCATAGACCTTGAGATGAGGGGGTGGGGTTTACTCTTGATAAAGTCTTTTTTCGGCCACGTGGCCCTTGGTTTGCCTGAACATGTTCAGTGAAATAAGCCATAGAAACACAAAAAATTTAATATTATATTTTCTGAATAAAAATGAAACCGGTTCATCAACAGATATTTCCTCTGACATTACTTCTGGAAACACCATATTTAAAAAGCACTTATTTGCAAAATATTCTAGATAAAATATAACTACATAACAAAGTCACAGGATGTTTCAGCATGGCTGATGCCATGTTATAGATTCCCGTTCTTTGAATTACTTTCCCTTGATAATAGTGTGAGTGAAGCTGAAACATGATTGTATTAATTTGTTGTTACTTCATATTGTTACTGTAGCGCTACTTTACAAAATATTCAATAGGGTTTGTAAAATGGGACTGACAACTTCTAAAAAAAGAGCAAATTTCCGAAGAATTATGTTGACCTGCCATTTCACATCCCTATGGCCTGTAAACCTATAAGATCACAGTCATTTTACAAATCAAATGTCAGCATTGCATCAAGCAAAGATTTGTTACATTCACACATACATACATAGATATAAGTACATACATAGTTTATTTTAAGCAGGTTACTAGAGGCAAGACTAAAGTCCTGATGTTGACCTGCACTAACTACAAGTAAGCTAACAAAAATAAATCAAAGAATTAAAATCTAGAAATTTACAGCAATAATTACATAATTACTTTAAAATATTTTTAGAGGGGGGCAAGGGGGGATCTCATCACAAGTTTACAAACAACAATTTTGTGTTTTATGAGTCACAAAACAAAATGATCTCTGCGCAACTATAAATTCCCTACGGACGTTACATCAAAAGACTCTTCCCTGTCCCATTCACAGGTATCTGGGTATTTTTGAAAAAGGATATTTTCTTTTCTCCATTTTCCAAAAATACTCATCCACATGTAGCATATTCGAATCATTTTCGCCTGTCCACATGAAAATGCGATTGGAAATACAATAGAATTCCTTACAGAACATGCGTCATGCTAGAAATACATGATGTATGACATCATCATATAATTCGAAAACCTGTGTTTTCGTCTGTCCTTGACCACACGTCAATGAAAAGTCGGCGATTTCAAAAATCTCCACTCTGGAGAGCATTTTAGAAAAGATGCATTTTTGGTGACAGTTTTAACTGGATTTGTGTGGATGGGGCCTCAAAAGTTAAGTTAAATCAAGCCACCAGCTGCTGGTTCAGGTCGTTTGGCCAAATTAACGATTTAATACTTTAATACAAAGTACGTGTATGCAATCAAGGATTTTGGCTATTCACATTTCACACAATGCACTTCAATCACGATTCACAGAACAGTTTTTCAGTACATCACGATTCATGGACACCAAAAATGACCAAAAATGCTTGAGCTTGCCCCCCCGCCCTCTTTTAAGTCCATTGACCTAATTAAGGTAGGTGATGCCAGAAAACGCTGTCTCAAAACTTATTGCTTTTAAAAAGGTCTTGTTTTCCTTCATTAACCTCTTAAACGAACCAAGACTAGGAGAGTTTTTGAATGAATTAGGGAGGAGGATCCAGCACAAGGTAGCTCTGTGCTTGACGGATGATCAGCTGATCTCAGTTTTTGGCCTAAGGAATCTCAATGTTTGCAGACTTCCTAAAATTATATTTAGACTTAGATTTAACAATCAGATCTCTAAGAGGATGACTGATCTTTGCTGACACCATTATAGATTTTAATTTATTAAAAACTAATAATCAATAGTCTCCTGATGTAAAACAGAATGCCCAGGTTCCAAAGATCAAGAGGTGAATTCCTGACTTCAGCACTGTGGATTATGGAAAACTAAAGAGAGCAAGAGCCTAGACTACAATACCATATAAAATGCTTGGTAGAATTGTCCTATGATAAATAGTTTGCAAGACTGACTTTGGTAAGAGCTTAAGGTGGCTCGAGGGGCAATACCTCCCAAGTTTGAGGATAAACTACATAGCCATTAACAAAAACTTGGAAAAAATTACCACCAGAGCTGTATTAGATTAAGATGAAAATTTGGTATGATTATTACAATAACATTGGAGTTGTCATAGCAACAAAAAGATGCAATTACCTATTTCACTTGCAAGTACACAAGATCCATCCCACCAAGAACAGAAAAATCGGATCATATATCTTATGGGGGGGTGTCGATTGATGCATCATCTGTTGCCATAGTCGATATTATTGTTGGCCGTTACTTTGCCATTGGATTACCAACAGCTCACTGACGTATTATGGACACATAACTAGCAATCGCGTCCACCATGTGTCAGCTGTCAGTTATCTTGTAACAAAGGGAAAAGCATTTGGGATGAGTTTGGTAAAAGCCATGGCAATTGTCGACTGATTCACCACTCATACCTTACCGATATTCAACCGAGGATTCACCGATACATTGCTGACAGTCACTACCGATGCTATCTCGACCGACTGTCAATCAATCTGTCGACTGATACTCTCCGACAGGAAAACGCCAGTAAGCCGATATTTCAACCAACTCTCAACTGACATACTGTGGCCGATATGTTGATCGACATTCGACCGAGATATCGGTTGATACATCGATCGACACCCCCTGTAAGATACATAATCTGTAAAATCTATCCCGTTCTCATTCCCACTCATTGATTAACTCAATGATGTCTGCTCGTTCCATTTCTGTCATTATTTTAACAAAATCTCCAACAGTCCAAGAGCTGGGTACCTGTTGGGCTAAAATGACAGAAGTTGTTGTGGTTCTTTGTATTTCAGCTTCCCGTTGAAGACGCTCAAATTCTGGAACTGGGATGTTCAGTTTACTAGCAAATTCTCTTACATCTCTTCCATCAGCTCTTTTGATATCCAGTGTGAGGTAAATCTTGTGTAAAAGACGGAAGGATACCTGGTTCATTTTACATCTGTATTTCTTTCTTTGGGTGATTTGCTTTTTCATTTCACTTGCACTACCATTCTGCAAGGCAGCAGTGAAAAACTGCTGAGGAGCTGCTGGAGATAAAGAAAATACTAATTGCTTTAATATCTTATAGTTAAACATTTTGAATTTCCGGATACAAATAAATATTAATTAAATTTTTATTAAAACATCTGTCTAAACATACTAGAGAAACAACTAATTGTACATTATTACTGGTGTCCAACAGGCCCAGAACCTTCTCCTATATGCACCCATCAGACCCAAGGTTTGCATATGGGAGTCGGCTATGTGGTTGCATGATACTACTTAAGTTTATACAGAGCTGAGACCTCTTTATCAAATTCCATTTTTTTCAAGGAATAGTCATATGACTTTGTCCACATTGTGCCCGGGAGGGGGGCGGGGGAGTTCTTGGGTTAATTTTTGCTAGGTATGTGCCACTGGCCTCTCAGAGCCCCTACCCCATTATAGCCTATGCTGTGGCCACCCCATCTTAGTCTCTTTTGGGCAAATATGTAATTTTCCTGATCCCAACTTAGTCACTTTCTATTTTTATTGACCCATTTTTAGATTGAATGAAAAACACTTTACTTTTCATCTACAGTACAAACATTCTGGGAATTTTGCTAACCGTAAATATGAAGAACTGTCTTACACCCCAAAAAATCCGAAAATGTGCGACCCCATTCTAGTAACTCTATTGAAAATGCGACCCCATTATAGTCAATCCAGTGGTGAAAATGCGACCCCATCCAGCAGCACATCCCCATGAGCCACTAATAAGGAAGTAACCACCCTTCCCCCCTGGAAAATTGTGTCTCTAATGTGTGCAAAAAATGAATGACTGACAACACCAAAAATATGCTTTTAAATGACATGACCTCTTTCTTTTAATAACGGTGGCTATATCTGCAAGATTTGAGGTCTCTTCAGAGGAATTCAAGGATTTTCCAAGGAATTTCTTAATTTTTCAACTTTTAAGGACAGTTTCAAGCCCTGTGAAGCTTGTGAAATAACTTAGAGATATGAAGTGCTTTACAAGGAATTTCATGAGAGAGCTGGACAAATTTCCTAAGTTCTTAGCCCTTTTATTTCTAGACCAATTCATGGAGACATTACCTGTCACTCTAACGAGGAATCCTATGGTGTTATTACCACTGAAATAAACCCTTCTCATTTCAGAAAAGTCACAAAGTTCTACTTACTTTTTAAGGATTTTACTGAGAGAAGTTAGCTTTTTTGTAGTTTCTTTACTTGAGACACTTTTAGGAGTGAGGGGGTCAGGCAATAATATTGCTGGTAATAAGGGGTTCTTTACATTAAGATAACCATCCTCTTTCAACTGTCATTCTGTTTCAATAAATAAAACAATAGCATACCTTGTGCATTGTCATCCTCTAACGATGATGGAATGCCATTTTCATCATGGAATGTCTGGTTATGCTGTAGCTGAAAAGGGTTGTTTTCATTTCTCTCTGGAGTATCCTGCTGGCCATTGTTGGTATAGGACTGTGAAAACGAAGCTCTGTTGGTATCAGGATGTAGATGTACAGTACTGTGGACACTGTTATCAACAGGAGTTACTCCTGTCATCGAAGAGCATGGAGAACTAGGGACGGTCTGATCACCAATAGGCTGATGAAACCTTGTGGTTTTGCTTTTTCTTAATTTACAAAGAATACCCAGAAAGAGGAGAGGCAGAGATACACCACAGAACAGGTAAACTACTGTTTTATTCCCCATTTTGAAATGATCTTTGATACTGTATCCTGTATTTTCTATTTCATTTGACTCAGTGTCAACAGTTATTGAAGAACTAGATCCAGCATAGTCCTTTGAACTGGTGGCAGAAACTGTTGGATGTTCATGAGTGTGGGTGGTCGCAGTTATCTGTCTGCTGGTTCTAGTGATACTTGCATGCCAAGAAAAGACTAAAGTGGAAACCAATGAAGGGCTTGGTTCTATGAGAACACAGTGAATGTCTGTGCCTTGTGGGACAGTGGATGCACATCGCACTGATGATGTTTGCCCTTCCTCACATTGTGGGCACGGGAAACACGAGACACATTCTCCTGATGAGGGGTCGACTACTATAATGGCCTGCCCTGTACAGTCTTCCTCCAGACAAGCAGATTTTACTCCCACTGATACCTGCAAAGAAAGACATCTAAAATGAAAAAAAATCAACTTTTACAGCAACTTAACATAATTAGGTGCTTTAAACCAAAATCACGGACATTTACCTAGCTCTGATTGGTCATGATAAGAGGAAAATATCCAGTGCTCCAGTGATTTCTCAAAACGAAAAGTCCACAAGTGTGAAAAAAAACGGAGTGCAGCATGAGTCACAAGTGGTTTGGGTGTGAATTAACAACAAAGTTAAAAGCACGTCGCCTTTCGAAATGTCATAACAAATAGAATTTTTAACTTTACAGTTACTCGAACTCAGCTTGGTTGTTTCTCATGAGCTGAACCTCGTTCCCGGTGGGAGTAAAGAATCCTGGGGCCGGTTGCTCGAGGCCTGGTTAGCGCTAACCGTTGGTAAAGAGGTATCAAAATGTATAGGTTTCCATGGTATTTACAGTCAAACCAGGTCAAGCGTTCCCGTCGCTAACGAACTAATGAATTCATTCACGGAAAAATGATTTCGTTTGTTGATTCAATAATCCATTCATAAAATGAATAATCCAATAGTCATATTTAGCCTCGATTCCATAATCGAATGTTGATTCGATTACTGTTTTTTGAAAAATTACACTCTCCACAAGTTAACCTCAGAATTTTGTTTTTTCCTCTTTTTTTTCTGAGAGTCGAGTGCTGGCGAGTTCTGAAGTTCAAACCCAAACAAACTGTTACATGTACGCCAGTTTGCTGCCAATAATCAGTGCAACAGACCTAGGCCTGACCTCTTAGAAAACACGACGGTCAAACTGAGGTCAGTGTATGTGCGGTGATTGGTGGATTTCGATCCTCAGCCTTTGTCAGTTTCTTTGCGTTTGCGGTCTGTCTATTCTAGCTGTTATTTTGATTAAAGGCAATGAAAAACGCAATCGTAAACGGCAGGAAAAGGGAAGCAAATACGATTGAACACAACTGACAAGAATAAAGAACAGGTATATTTTGTTCATAAACCAAATCAACATTTGATTATTGAATCGAGGTACAATTTGACCTTTGGATTATTCATTTTATGAATGGATTATTGAATCAACAAACGAAATCATTTTTCCATTAATGAATTCATTAGTTTGTTAGCGACGGGAACGCTTGACCTGGTTTGACTGTAACGCTGGTTAGCACTTTGCACTAACCTTAGCCATGCTTCGAGCAACCCGGGCCTGGTAACGAGCAGGACATCGAGCCAATCACGTGACAGTACAACTTGTTCTTTGACAAAAATCCTACTCTCAATGTACAAAGTAAATCGTTTTACATTTTTTCAGATCAAAATTGTTGGGTTACTGAATTCGACGAAACTAAAACCGTAAGCTTTTATATTTTACCTCGAAAATACTTCCCTCAAGGTTATCGATTGATTCGTTATATACTTTCTTACGACAAATGCATCGAAATGTATGAGCAAAGATAAATCGCGCATTGAGATTCCGCAAACCATACTGTGCTGTGTTTGGATGATGGATTTTAGGGAACAGTTAAGTTTGTACTAGTATAATTAGAACGTAACTCACCAGAATCGCTTGTACAAGAAAAACAATCGTTCGTGCTGTTGACATTGGAGATCGAACTAGTAATCTCATTCCCTGATGAAGAAAAGGCGGCAAAGAGAAAATCAGTTCTGCATTTGATAAGAAATGTGTATTATAGACAAATGTATCTTCTTTCTTCGCAGAGACGCAGATCTTCGCACCCACTGAAGTATTGCGAAACTTTAATACATCAACAATCGCGTGAGAAACGGCGCATGCCTCGGGCTCGACTGACTGTACATAACCCTAAAAGTGTGCAATGCGAACTACTGAACAAGAATGAATTTAAGGCGTTTCTTATAATCTCACCTCGTGTGTAGATAAAACACTTCTGTGAGCTCCATGATTGAAGGTTTATTACTTATCATGTCGTCTTAGCATTTTGCCAGGCAAACGAGTTCTTCGAGTTTCGTCACGCGTGCCTTCATTTCAAACAAAAGTCGTCATGAAATCGAGGCAGGGGATTCCCCTGATTGAAATCCATTGCATTTCCATTGCATATTAATTAAGACACGAAATTCCAAACTTCTAGAGAGTGCTGACGAGGTTTTTATTTTAGGTGGAAGAAATGTCGATCGGTGTCAGGGCCTGCCCACAGTTTGATCTGTAACCTGTACATCATGGTATGCAAATAGCATAAAAAAGGAAGAACAAACCAAAAATAAAAACACCTTTTAATTCTGTAACAGTCAACTCTTTCGGACACCTCGCTAGGGTGATATATCTGTGTTGGGACTTGCCATTCTTCACATTCTTTATCCTTATTTTTAATAATGTTTTATTGTCTAAACGCAGACATCTTTATATGGGCACTTACCTCCGGTTTAACGGGGTCTGCGAGGATTGACTGTCCCAAATGCTAAAGAAAAGACGAAAAGACATAATGAAAATCTAAATCGATCCGAACCACCTGCCGTCGGGAAAAATTTGCTGACTAATAACACCTTGTATGGCCATAAAGGAGATACGAAAATAAATTCAAAGATAGAATAGTAATGTTCAGCTGAATGTTTCCCGATTGATTGATTGTGTAATTTTAAATATTCTGACAGCGGTTCATATTTACTGACTGTATTAAAAAGTAAAACCAAGGAAATGCGATCTTTGGGCATTGCAGATTTAACGTTTGCTTGTCGCATAAATTTGCATAACCGCATAGAAACTAAGACAACTGAAAATACCCGCCAAAAAAGTAGATTTTTTTCTCATTGGCGATACAACGAATGTAAAAAGCCACGGGTAGCTTTCAACAACATTGCAAGCAAAATGCCCATGATGCAAAACTACTAACATTTCCTAAACTTAGTTTTCTTCAGCATGTTTTAATTTTTTTTATATATTTTGCTGAGACAAGCGTGTTTCACACTGACACATGGAAGGCATAAATCCTGTCTGACAAGTCTGACAAGGCCATTCCGTGATTTTGACTTCGTTTAGACGAGTCCGGACAAATTTTTGAAAGAACAAAACATTTGCACGATCCGCCTTTCGTTCACACGGGACCCGCGGAACCGTGCAAATTTTTGAATGGCAATCAGCACTGCGGTTCTGTGTGGAAGGGTTGCATAGGTAACAAATTCGTCCGTTCCAAAATTTGTCCGGGCCCCTGTAAACGGAGTCTTTGATTTTCGGCCACCACCGGAAAGGACGGAAAGACTAGAAAATGATGTAGCCAAACTTAGGTCTGCTTGCTAATCATCTTTTAAGGATAATCTCCTCTGGAAGATATTTAAATAGAGATCGTAAGATTGCACTACGAGTACCAGACAAATTACAGTTGACTCCCGATAGCTTGAACACTGGCTAACTCGAACCTCGCCCTAACTCGAGCCAAAATCGATTTCCCCTGGATTTCCTTCAGACATTTATTGTAATTTTACCCTCGGTAACTCAAACCCTCGATAACTCGAACCGTCCGCTGACTCGAAAACAACTGGAACCATGTTTTGAGGGGTTTTGTTTAAAGCAGGCCCGCGGCCCACGGCCCGCGACAGCCCGGTGGCCCAGAGTCCCAGTCCTGATTTTCCACAGTTTTTTGTCCAGCGGTAAATCCACGCGCAGTCCATCGGGTTTGGGCGGAATTGGGCGTGCAAAATGGACGACGGCGAGTTTGAATTCGCTTATCATTTTAATAATCATTTCAATCCTTTTCGATCCTTTCTGTCCTTCCATGTTGCTAAGTGAAAAACGCTGTTTATTCGTCTGTTTACAGAACCCGATAGAGAGGAAGTCCATTCTCAAACGATGTAAGTTATTTTCAAACCACAGTTTGAGATTGAAAATTTTCACTTTCAAAGTAGAGTAAACCCGCAACTAAGAACCTACATTTTTAGGAGTTAGCCTAAACAGGTTCTTATATAAATGGTAGTTAACAGAATTTTAAGCTATTTAGGTTTTTAAAATGAGTTCTTAATCCTGGAGAAAAAACAATTAAAACACAGCTGCAAACAAGTTGGTCATTAGCCTATACTTTTATTTTCTTCAGCCCCACCCCCCCCCCCCAAAAGAAAAACATTTAAGAATATATCAGTTTATTTATACATTTACATGTATTTACATGCTTTGCCGAGCTGTACAAAGCTTTAACTGTAACAATAATATTCAGGATAATATTTTAAAAAGTGCAGTTGTACTAAACCATCACTATAATTAATGCCCCTTTGTTCTTTTTTTTAACTTGATCCATTTTAGTTCAAAGCCCATTACACATCTAGTGTAATTCAGTGTTAAAATGTATAGTCTTCAAGTCCTTGAGGCTTAATCATATCATCATCACTTCTATCAACAGTGATTAAGCATCTTGTCTTCTGGAAAAGTCTCTTGATAAAATCTTTGTCCTTCACCAGTTCCCTCCATGCTGCACCTGCCCACTTTGTCATGAGGATCCTCCTTTGTCTTGTAGTTATTTTGTCATGCCACAGTTCTAAATTGTCCTTCTCTTCAAGCCACTTGTCCATCTTCTCCCCAAATTTTGTCTTGTACATTTTACCAAACCCTGCATCTATAGGTTGTATCTTGTCAGTGTGGTTTTCAGGCAGAAGATATACAATAGCATTGAGTTCATGTCTGCAAGCATCATGGAACTGCTTATCCTGCTGGAATGTTACATTGTCTGCAAATATAACTTTCTTGTCTGGTGACTTGCCAATGCCTGGAGCAAGTGTTTTGGCTACCCATTACAAAAGTCATGTTAATCTCACTGTCCATCCAGGTACAGCTTTGGAAGTAGACATCAACCCCCTCATCATATTGAGCTTTCTCTTCTGTACTCACATTTCCTTTTCCACGGAATACAATGGCTGGCTTGACATTTTGTTGCCCCTCTGCACGAATACAAAGCTGCAATGTAGCCTGTCTCTTGTCCAAGCCACTGGAGGGTTGAGAAACCCACACTTGCTCACTCCCTTTCACTTCGTATGTTTTATCCTGATCAATAACAAACGGAAGGGGTACTTGATCAACATTTTACCTGTTCTGTGGTAGCCAACGCCCGTACTTGCCATCTAGCCTAGCATTATTTCGCCGTCTTGTTGTTTTCAGGGATGCCCTTAGATTCCTATGGAAACACTGAACTGTCTCCTTATCCTCACTTGGTGGGTTCTTTTTCTTGTTCGATCTTCTCCTGAAAGCAATGTTATTACGCTTTTTGAACCTCTGAAACCAGTTGTCACTGGCTTTGAATTTCTGAGCTGCCTCTTTTCCATAACAAGCCTCAACCTTTTCCTTCATTTTCTTTTTCAGCCAAAGCTTTGAAATCTTGTATCCTTTTGCTCTTCTGAGTTTAAACTCCACAACAACACGCGCAGCCGCTAGTGGAAACTTCTCTCTTTTTACTTTTTGACACACAAGTTGTCTTCTTTGTTGTGTGGATCTTGCTGCGCCTTTGCTCTTCTTTGTCTTGTTGAGAGCTTAGCTGGCTTTGAGTTTTTACCCGTTCTTTGTTCCATTTAACTTAACTAATGATTTGCTGATCCCTCTTCTTTCTGCAACCTTTTCCCAGAGGTTTTTTGTCTTAAGCTCTTTCATGGTGTCTAGAAGATCCAGAGTTTTTATCTTGAAATCTATAGTGGAAGATTTCCTCTGATTTGCCCCTTGACGATTGTTTATTTTGATTCCAGACTCGCGTTCCTCTAGCTCCGTCAAAGCGTATGTTGTTTCTAGACTTTCTTCGTCCACTACTTGCTGATCAGTAGCTTCGTTGACACATTTGTATGAAGTTTTCAATAGAGAGCTGCTTTGGCTTAGTTTTGACTTTGAGAGCTGCTATGGATGCTTGAATCGTACGTTAGTAGCGAGGTATTTCTCCCCCGCCAACGAATCATGATTTCACACTTTACGGGCTTGTCAGGAAGCTCAACTGCTTTTGAAAGACCCGCAGATACCTCAAAGAGCCACTTTTTGTTTCTACCTGCTTCTTGAAACCAAAATGGAATAAAGTGTGAATCATTTCCTAAGCTGAAGAAAGTCTTACTTGAGAAAACATAAGCTGTCAAACTCATGTGTGTTGAAGCGTGAAGCACTGATATGTCGTGTTTACATTAGTGCCGGACAGGAAATGATGTTTTCTTGTAAGTCAATACAATTGGCCAGCAGTGCCACCCAAACTCCACACGTTGTTGCAAAGAAAGTCTCTAAAGCAACCCAAAAAGTGCAAAATTCAGCCGTTTCCTTTCCTTTATTTGTCCGCATAATTTGGCACAGGCTAGAAACCAATGACGTCTGGAGAGCATGAGGTGTTTTTGGAGTCAAGTGTTCGAGGTTACCACGCATACTTTAAATATTCAACTGTTAGTGTGGGAGAACTGATGATGTGGGAGATCGAAGAGAACATTGACCACGACAAATACAGCAAAATTCCGAAAATAAGCCCCGGGGATTATATTTTTCAAAGGCCCTTTTTGAGGGGCTTATTTTTGGAGGGGCTTATATTCGGGGGGGTTTATATTATCTATGGAGGGAAAAATGCGTTTCAAAATCAATTGGGCTAGCATTATAGTTGGAAGTAAATTGCCGGTTTTTTTTCAGTTTGTATTTGAGGGCAATTTTCCAAGTACAGGCCCCCGGGGGGCTTATATTTGGAGGGACGATATAACAGAGGGTTTTTTGCGTTACCGGTTTGGGGGGCTTATATTTGGAGAGGCTTATACATGGAGGGGCTTATTTTCGGAATTTTACAGTATGCCGTTGCAGTAAAGAATGAATCTGGCCAAATTGTGGGCCATGTACCTATTGAGATTTCGAAGATTATGTGTAAGTTCATTCGTGACTGTGGAGAGGTTGAGGTGGAGTGTATTGGACACCGATATAATGTGGGCCAAGGAAAAGGACTCGAGATTCCTGTCGATTATAGGCTGCTTGGAAATCAGCAGTATTTGCAAAGAGTAGTAACAAAGCTAAAAAGCATAGATCTGGCTCTCAGTATCAGTGACATTAGGAAATGTGGCACAGAGTATTAAACTGAGTATTGTATGCATTAATTTCTTCTTTTTAACCTGGAACTTGATAGAGAAACTACATCAATAAAAGATGTTTTTATATTATCATTGTTACTACCTTTAATGCATAATGGTGTGCTGATCTACACATTGCTTAGCATGCTTTGTAAGTCTACATATATCGCACTCATTTTTCTTTAAAAAACATATTTTTACAACAATGGCAATCTGCTTTTTTTGCTTCAAATATGATTCTTGCAATGCAGCTGAAATGTACCAGTATGATTTTAGAAAATAAGAGCCTGTTTTAAATTTCTTAGGCTAAATAGGTTCTTGTTTATAGGGGTATGAATGACCAAGCTAACAGGTTCTTGATTTTTAGGTTCTAAGTTGCGGGTTTTTACTGTATGGTTTGAAAGTAACTTACATCGTTCGATAATGAAAGTCCTCTATCGGTTTCTGTAAAGAGACGAATGAACAGAGAATGAAAACGTTCTTATCTGAACAACATGCAACAAACAGAAACAAGGATTCAAATGATTAAAATAGTAAACAAATTCAAACTCACCGTTGTCCATTTTGCACGCCCAAACCCAATGCCAGGGGGGTGGTGAACTTGGTAGTTTGTTTGTCCGGACGATCTTGGCCATCGTGACGTCACGAAGAGAGAAGCGCGCAACTTCGAGGAGTTTTCGAAAATGGCGCCGTTGTCATTTCCAAATACGACTACTTTTAAATTAAAAAGTAAATTTTAAAGTAGTTTCTGATAGAGGGAAATTATAGTTGCAACAGCTCTTTCCGAGAAGAGTTAATTGTATTATATTCTGTTGATAATTACCTCGTAAACAGTTTAAGCCAATTTTTTCAAGTGGAATATCTGTCGCAGAAATTTGCATGATCGCATAATAACAGCACATGTTTTAGAAAATCGGTTTGGTGTGGAAATTCGAAACTTGGCAGAAGGGTAGGTCAGCAATTCTCGGTTTTCACTGTCACGCAATCAAAAATAAAATTGCAAACCATTCAATACAGAAAGTCTCGAATCTAGGAAATAAAAGAAGATAAATAAGCAAAAGGCTTCGCCAAGAATCAGGTCTGTGCGATCTTTCATATGCGAGATATTAGGAAAAACGTTTTACCCAAATTTAGAAAGCTTTGTATGGAGACGCCATGTTTGTGTCCCTTTGCGGGGCACAAATATGGCCGCCGGAAACCAACAGAAACATCTGTTTTTGAGTTTTCCTACTAATGCGTTAATTCATCGCTTGAAAAACTCATAAACTATTAAAGTGATATTTATTCTGAGACAAGGAATGTTTAGACAGCAAAATCTCCCAAAATTGGTAATGTTTTTAACCCACATAAGAGCCGTTGTGGCCGCCAGCTAAATGCCGCGTCACGCAAAAGCCTAGAAATTCAAACGTCCTCTATCGCAAAACGAAGAACCCTTTCGAACCAAAACTCTCTTTAAATAAAGGTGTTTAGGTGCTGTAATACCTCATGAAACTCATGAAACTCAGAAGAATCGATAGTTTCTTAGTTTGAATTTTAGTGACGTCATATGAAAACCGAGAATAGTGGAAAACATTGTCCTTGATGTTTAATGGGAGAAATTAGCAGTAAAAATGATCAGTCCATTCGAGTGCGCTTAATATTGATATAAACAGATGACCTCGACTCGGTTACCCCGGCACAATGTAAGTCAATTATTTTTCGGTGTTAAGAAAAAGAAAACCAAAGACTTCCCTCAACACTATGTATCTATAATAATTACACCAGGAATATATATATTTTTAACACTTGAAGGTTGTACCATCTTGTTGAAGCAAAGGATATTTCTCTGTAATACCTATAAGCTTACATTAAGTTTCCATAAATAGCAAAAAAAATTAATAAGATTTACATACAGCTCCAAACATGTACATCTGTTATGCATGAGGCAATTTCATATCGTTCCATATCAGTAGTTAGTGCGAATGGAGTCAAACATGTACAGTGAAACTTGTATAATTTAAGCGGACACCTCAGAGAATGCTGTAGTGCCCACTTGATACAAAGTTTCTTCCTACTACATACAGGTTTCGATAGAAAAGGTCATATGAGGCAGACCTGCCAACTCTCACGATTCTGCCGTGAGTCTCACGATTTTTTAACTTTTCTCATGGTCTCACGACAAGACTCCCAATCTCATGGTTTTCTGGGAAATATTCTAAATTGAAATATTACCTTGTTGAATAAAACATAAATTTTGTGGGGAAATTCTTGTGCCTGGATAAGCTTTGACTATTTTAGCCATGAAGTTGTCTTAACCCAAAGAAATGACTCTGCTGTATGTTTCGTCATGCAGTGATAACCTATTTTCTGGCCTCTTAAAGTCATCAAAGAAAAAGCGGCATCTAATTTGTTACATAAGAGACCACACTAAAGCAAGGTTAACAGTTGATTCCCCTAATGGAAAAGGGGGCCGTTTAATTTTGATCGGGAAAAAATAGAATCTCACTACTTTTTGTAGAATCTCCCGATTTTTTTTCATGAGTCTACAGATTTTCCTTTATCAGAGGTTGGCAGGTCTGTATGAGGAGCTAAGTACCATTCAAATAAAAGGCGGAAACATTTGGAATACTTCCAGAGATATGATGATATACATTTGCATTAATATCTTTATTTGTGTGGAGCAATTAATTAAACCTAGATTGTACCTCAAATTTTAAGATATCAAATGAGTGAAACAAGCTTTATACAAACAAAAATGAAATGAGAAAGTACTGTAACTCATTTATATAATATACAGAAGTCCCCTGGTGACACCATCCAAGTGCTGATAGGGCCAGACTCCCAATCTCATGGTTTTCTGGGAAAGCAAAAGGCATCTTAAAATAACAAAAGGCACATAGGGCTCAGCTGAAAGGTACCATAATGACGTCAACACGTATGGAAACAGGCCTTTTCTCCAAAACCCGCCCCATTCCCCTATGGCTATTTTTATTTGCGTTTACCCTACCTCACCTCCCCTCCCCATACCTGATGAAACAAGGCTTTCAACAGTTTGTTGAGATAGGATGTTTTTTGTTTTACAGGATGAGCTCATCATATTTTATTATCGTAGAGACAGGGGTAAGATAAGTTAACAATAATAGACAGATTATTATAGGTGGGTTACTCATTTTTACAGCTATCCCTGGAAGAAGAAATAGAAGTAAGGAGCTGACTGGCAGCCACTGAGATTGAGGAGAGGAGAAAGGAAATTGAAAGAGAAGAGAAAGGGTTGAAAGGAAAGAAGAAAGGTTAAAAGAAAAAGCAGAAGAAATTAAAAACACAGTAACAGAGGCCAATCGGGTAGCTGCCCAACTGCAACTAAAGGCTGGGCAGCTAGACTGCTTGGCTAACCAAATTCTAGAGGAGACCAAAAAGTTAAAGAAGAAGTAAAAGAAAAACACCAGTGTAAGAAAATTTTATTGATAACAAACCGTTTCTTTTAATCAAAGTCAATGTGCAAAGTTTTTAAATGTAAACAAGTCTAAGTCAGACCTGTTATGCAAGAAAGAAAACACTTTTGTTCAGTATATAAAAAATAAAAGGAAACTGGTTCTTCTAATTTCTTGTATCCTGTATGGTCTCTTCTTGCTCCAGGGAATCCACTCCATCTAACATCCCCACTTCCCGCACCGCACTACTCTCTTCATGGAATCTATTATACTAGATCTTTACAGACATCCAGTAAGCAGCACCTCCTCCATCATACACTGCATGTTTTTTCTCATCATCTACAGAGTATTCCCAACCAAGGAAGCACCTAGTTATATAATATCAGTCAGATAAAAAGAGATTATTATATATACAAAAGTCAAAACTAAATAAATAAATAAATAAAGGCAATATTATCAATTAAAATCCCTAATTATTTGTTAAGCATCTCTTAAATCAGATATTATAATGGTTTTCCTCACCTACTCCCTAAACTTCACATTTATATAGGTGAGTTAAACCACAAACACCCCCCCCCCCTCCCCCCAAGCAATGGTCAAAAAATATGTCTCCCTTGAATTATAAATTTTTGTAACTTCAAGGAACCCATCAAGATAATCCAAACACTGATTTCTAATCTTAAACCAATAGCTAAAAGGCAAGGCTATGTGAAATATATTAGCAGAGGCAGTTCAACAGCAAATTTTAAAGAGGGGCTTTAGAGCTATTATAATGGACCACCTATAGTCATGGAACGATTGGGTCTTTACTAAGTTACGCCTACTGAGAAATTACCACAAAGCTACATCAGCTGGGTGATAAAACTGTACGAGCAGGCCCCAAAGATTGTTGGAACTGGACAGTGTCACTTGATGTAACTGACAATAGCATGGAATCCAAGTAAGTTAAAAAGCATCAATGACTGAAAATTAAACTGATGCCCCTGCACTCCCACTCTCAGTAGATCCCCTGCCTTGACATTACCTAATAAACATACATTGATACTCGTGTCATTTTCTGAACTCGAGTAGTTATTGAACTATATTGTTGTTCTTGAACTTTGGTGTCTTTATTGAACTACACAAAAAGGAAAACCGAAAAAATGTAACATTAAAAAAGTCTCTTGTTATTTTGTAAAAGTGTGAGAAGGAAGATGATATTCATCGCATGAAAATCCTGCAATTTTTTATATGCTTAGAAATTTTTCCCCCCTCATTTTAAGATGCGGACGCCCGAGGAAACCCATTTCAATATTACACCATTAAAACGCTTACTAGTGTCCGTTTTCTTGGCTTTTTCTAGTTTTTTTTCTATTAACTCTGCAAAACGATTAAGGCAAAGCTACATACCCATCCTTTCTACGGCTCCTCCCCCTGGATTCTCTGCATAAAGCCCTAAAAATGTTGATGTTGATCAAAAACTTTAGCTCACGGTAAAAACCATGTTCTCCTTTGTTTGTGGGGCGAAGAAGCAAAGAGAAAGGCAATGTGAACTTATCTCCATCATGAACAATGAATGTTTTGACAAAATGATCGTAATTTATAGTGAAAAGTTGCAATATAATAAGTTAATGATAGTCCAGTATGAACATGACGCTATGTTTCGTGACCTGTCCACGCCACTTTCGCAATTTTTGTAAACATCCCTGAGGTTTGCGACTTTTATCTCACTGATCATTTTTGCTAACTTATTAGATGACTCACTTCTATCACTAATTGAGAGACCTATACCATATTAACGTCATTTGTTTTTCTCGAGACTAAATTCTGCTGGGCTCTTTAGTTATGCGTCTCCAAAGACGCGCCGGTATGAGTTGTACCATCTGGTCGATCTCCGGAAGTTCTTGATTTTTTACGATGGAAATGCTCTTTCCTAGAATATATTGCAATTTTACTATATAGCATTAATAGGTAAACACATACCTTCGGTCGTTTCATCGCAACGTCTCGACTTTTACCACTTGAAACCACGAAACAACTTCGCTCGATGAAACCATTTAAAGTTCCCGGGATAAATTTCTCGTGACGTCACGATGGCCAAGATCATCCGCCGCGCGATCCCTATAGGAGCGATTGACGAGTTCATCACCCCCCTGCTCAATGCAGATCTGTGGATGCGCGTGGATTTACCGCTGGACAAAAAAACTGTGGAAAATCAGGACTGGGCCTCCGGGTCGCTGGCCATGGGCCTTCAGGCCCGTCACAGGCTGTGGGCCTCTGGGCCACGGGCCTGGTTTTAGCAATACCCTGTTTTGAGCGCTTAAAAGGTCGGGGAAAAACAGTGTGCTGGTGTCCGAAACATTGGATTTTGAAGTCCTACTCATGACACTTAACAGTTATTTTCTCTATATATATTCTATAGTTATACTCTTTATTTTTTCTTTTAAATATGTATTAAAGAAAAAAGACACTGAAATTTAGTCTGGTGGCACTGTTCAGTTACAGCCACTTTAAATATGATTTTATTAGCAGCTTTCTTTTTTCGCGGGTCTATTACATGGATTTTCTTAATGACTGGAATTTATTTACCAAGTGAGCTGAAAATAGAGCCTGATCTTAGGTAAGATCACTAAAATATTCCATTGTAAGAAAATGAAATTGTTGGTCACCATCAATCTGTTACATTACTGAATTTAGTTATAATACTAGTACCTTTTCTTAAGGCTGGTTTTTCACTAGCCACGAAGTCAGAGTTGGAGACGTTAAGTGGAAAATAAAAAATCAGAGTTGCAATCAGAGTCATAAGCATGACGGAATCAGAGTCGGCAGAATTAGAGTGTTTCCATTTTCCACTGACTCCGCTAGCTTTTATGACTCTGTTGCTTACGATCTAGTGAAAACCAGAATGTCGGAGTTGAAAGCAGAAGTGGAAGGATAAACCTGCAATTACAAAGCACATTCCCATGCCGTTGTGGTTGGTTTAGTTCTTCCACTTATGCTTGCGACTCCAACAACCTAGTTTTTACTTGATCGTAAATGACAGTCGTAAGCAAAATAAGAATGTTGTTTTCACTAGATAGTAAAGTTCTACGCTTCTGATTACAACTCCAACTCCGTCGCTAGTGAAAACCAGCCTTTACAGGCAATATAAAGAAAATTATGTTTAAATAGTTATCATACAAATAATTAGTTAATTCTTGATAGTTTAATATTATTATTGTGTTTGAAAAGTTACTACTTGTTCAGTGTCCAAAACAAGCATTAAAACAGACTGTTTACAAATGCACTAAAATGTCTTTGAAAGTGTAAAATAATATTATTATATTATTTAAATGCTGTATCAAAAATATCTCTCAATGAAAAATATTTTAGAAATTTATGACAAAAATAACAGAAAATAAAATTGTTGACAGTAAAACAACCTCCTTTACCTGTATAATAAATACAAACATTAAAAACAGCTTAAAGTAAAGTTACCAAAAGGTCCTGAAGTGACTCAATTGCTTGAAAGATATACTCGTACTGTATAACTGAAAAAGAAAAACATCAACTACTGCACAGCAACAGCATAATACAAAAATAGGAAAGCAAGTACAGTGAGAAACATTATTGCTTTGTATTAGTGAATAGTTGACTACAAAGTTTTGATGTCTATGAAAAATGTTTTCATTTCAATTTTTTTAATTTTTTTTTTTTAAAGAAGCTTACTGCAATGCGACATTATTATTATTAAATACTCTTGTCTAAATCCACTGTCACATTTTACCGCAGGGAGCCCAAAAGTGTGACCAATTTTCATTTATTCACATTCTTTCATGCAGACATTAACCAACCAGAAGTCGAGGACAGTTTCCAGCTGGCTTCTGATTGGATTAAATCTATATGACAGAATGTGAACAAATTAAAAGCGGTCACACTTTTGGGCTCTTTGCTGTAAAGTATTTCCTAGCTTAGGCTGATAGTAGTAATTCATAATGTTTGATGCATACACAGAGATGCCAACCTCTGGAGATCTAAAATCTGGAGACTCTCTCTTTTTCACTACCCCAAACCACCGCCCCCCTCCCCACCCCCGACAAAGATGGGAATTAATAAGGACATTATATGAAGTCTTACATAAAGTACATACTATCAAAATTCGCGTTTTGATGCCAGAAATAAATCTTTGTCAATGACTAAAAACAGGTGCGAAAATGCCCCAGAAACCGTATTACGAATACGAAAAATTCAATTTTGCGCTAAAAATGGGCTACATCTCAAACTAACTCACATAAAAGCTCAAAAGATGATTTTATCCAGGAGATATGGTGACCCGTACGGGAGACCGGGAGATTGGTGTCGTATCCGGGAGACTCCCGGATAATCCGGGAGAGTTGGCATGTATGCATACATTTGCTTCAAAAATGTTTAAATGATATTAAGGAATTGAACTTTTATAATTAATTTCAATGGGGTGCTTGATTATTTTCTTTCCCCCACTCAAAGCTTATCCATTCATCAATAATAGTAACAATATCATGCCTGTCCATGTCCTCCATAATGTTCTTAAATCTTCCAACGCAACTATTCTTTTGAGATTTAAACTTCTGTAACATGCAATGAGTTGGCTGTCCTTTCTGTCCAAGTAATGTGATCTCATCTCTGCTGAGGCCAATTTTCTCTCCAAGTAATCGGTAATCATCCAAAAATTGTCGCTCTACATCAAGTTTGGTACAAATGTTACAATAAAATGGCCGTAACGGGATGGTTTCCATTTTTCTGGTCAACAAATGTTTCTGAAATCCATGGAAGTCTGATGCAGGGTTAACATAAACAGTAAGGTCATCAGGTGGTGAATGGTCTTTGTTGTCAGCAGAAGATAAGCAGAGCTCTCTTGGCTTTTTATTACCTGTATACATAATACATGAAGATCTCTTCAGTAATATCACACGCTAGTGCCCTGAATGGTGGACCAAGGCCTTTGAGGTTAGGGGAGGGGTACAGTGCAGGCGTTTAAGTTTGGTCTAAAAATAAGTAGGAGGTGGCTCCCTCCCTAGAAATGCCACTGAAGCCCAACCTTGAGTGTCTTATACTGTAGGTCCCAAAACTTGGTGTTATTTAATTTATTTTGCTAACAATATAAATAAGCTGTACCAGACACAGCAAACTGAACATTGTCATTTTAATTGTAAGCAATCAACTTGCAGTGGATGCTTCTATTATTTCTTAAAATTCAGCTACAAATTCTTTTGTCAGTGTTTCCCTTCTACCCTGCAAGCAGTGGTTTCTCCAGGCCAGATGCTACAGTACAAAGGGAGAGTTCATAGCATTGTGTCTGGCCAGCTGGAGAAACCAGAACAACAACTCACATTGTCATTAGACAAATGTAGAATTCTTTTTTAAGTACGCTTCCTTCTCCTTCTTTAGTTATGAAATATAATAAAATAATAAACAACTGCAACATACATCATTTTTTAAAATTTCACCGAGAATGAATCAAAAGTTGTTACAGCTATTTGTCACTGGGCCTAATAACCGTTCACATAACCTCTACACCCAGGTAAATTGTAATTTTTTGATCCAATTAAAGGATTGCCAAATTAACCCACATAATAGCTGTGTCTTTAGTCCTCAAAACCAACCCCCTGGAATTTCTGTAATCTCAGGGTATTTATGATAACCCTTTCATGAAACTGTCTGGTTTTTTTGCATCACCCCATTGGCCATCAAATTCTTCCATCAGACCTCACCGTTTAATTTCCCTTTAGTGAAAGTTTTTAACAACCTTCTGTTTGTAGGGGCAGGGATTATACAGTTGACTCTTCTTAACGGAGTCAATATTATTAAGAAGGACACCACGGTAAAACAGACACCTAGATTTGGTCCCTGCCTTTCTTTACTTCCTTTATCTTACTGACTCTATAAGACAGACATCACTCTTAGATGGACACTTACTGCTGGTCCTAAAGGTGTCCATTCTGTCTTGAAGAATTGTTAGACTGTATTATTTTGTACTAACCTGATGTCAAAAGTCCTTTCTTATTAGCCTCTTCTAAATGACCAGGTCCTCTTCCATTTTTCTGTGAGCAAGAGGCTGATTCTAAGTCAGCGTCATTATCATTTGGGTTGTAGGAGTAAATAGTCTCAGTTTTTCCCTGACTGAAGCAACAGTCTCTTTTAAGAATAGTTTTGACTTGCTACCAGTCACACCATTTGTGAATCACAAAGCCAAGAACAATTATTATCACAACTAATAAAACACAGCTAACCACGATGCCAATAATACTGGAAGAAGAAAGCCGATTTAATTTGTGATCATCAGGCTGAAACAGTTTTCCATCAATTTTGAACGTGCCTGTAGGATGCTGACATTCGAGATGGCTTTGCCGACACTGATGTGACATAGGAAGACCAGAATCCTCACACTGCTGCTCATGGTGTGTCAATGGTTGTCTGCAGCAGTCACTGCATGGATCACATGAGTCGGTTATATTATTCCAATAAAAACCCTTATTGCATATTTTCAAACACCTGGTAGTATCCTCTGTGGTGGTGCAATGTCCTGATGACTTTTCATGTGGACTGCACTTTCTACAGCTTTTACACTGAGAATAATCATTTGTCTCAGAGTAATTCGCCCCTTTTACACAGTAGACACACTCAATTGATTCACTGAAGGGAATACTAACACCACAGGGAAAACTCAATCCACTTCCTGGATGACACTCTGAAACTGAGCATTTCCAGATTACGGAATGAGTCTTGTCGATCACTCTCTCAATTTCATCATGTTTTGGCTTTTGTCGTTTGCAGCTTACAAGACTAGACCCATAAACTAGGATGACCTGAGAAAAAAACAGAAATTTAACAGTTATGTTATTTAGAAGTGCAGTAGTCATGCAGGACCATTTTGATAGAAGTGAACTGACAGCCCCTCCCCAAAAATCATTCAGATTGCAGAAAAGCATGAGGGAGAGGAGGGGTGGGGATGAGGGTAACAGTAAGTCCTTATTTCCCAATGCCTTTACCAGAATCGGTACCTCTTAAGAGCAAAAATGAATTAAAATCACAATACAATAACTTTTATTTCAACACGATGGTGATGAAAGCGTTGCCGCTTATGGGAATTAAAACTTAAGCAACAAACATGATAAAAAAAAATGTCTTAATAATATAAAAAATTATCGTTATAATTGTGAGGCATTGTGGAGATTCAGCCCGAAAATCTAACACTGGAGGTTGTCCGATTTAGAGGCCATTCTAGTTTAATTTTCAACTGTAGATGTCTTTGCAAGGTCAGGAGTAAGAAGATTCCGCACAACAGATGCTGACTGTGTATCAAGGAAAGAAGCATCCCTGTCATAAAAAATTAGGGAAGTACTATTCCGGGAATACTACTCAAAATCTAAGAGCATGGTATAAGTGTATTAACGCTAAATCCATGGTTGAGTGAAAGATACTCCTTAACAAACTACTTGGTGATACAACTAGATTTGAAAAATTTAAACCGGTTTGAAAAATTTAAACTAAAGATTAAATTTGAACCACAACAGTTACGTGATTACCAGCTATGTACAACATTGATGGGCTCTTTCTATCTGTTAAGACGTGATTTATGTGGTTTTCAAATTTACCATATGATTTGGAAAACCTATTTCTTCGAATGTCGTTTTCGTCAGAAGCTAACAATATTGTTCCACGAGCATAAAGCAGTGACATGATGAAGGAATAAAAGCTTATTGATGTACACAAAGCATATCGCAATTCCATTCAATACGGTGTTTAGACAATGGCAAAATTTGCAATAAATTCACACTGTAGTTATAAGAAAAATTTAGCCGTTAAGTCACTTTGTATTATTATTAAAGAAAAATTTAGCCATTAATTAACGGCTAAGTTTTACTCTTTACTAAACAAAAATTTAGCCATTAATTAACGGCTAAATTTTCATTAACTATTTATACAAACGAAAAATTTAGCCATTAATTAACGGTTAAATTTTCATTAATATATATACAAACGAGAAATTTAGCCATTGATTAACGGCTAAATAATTCCCATATATATATGAAGACAGCTAAACTTAGCCGTTATTTAACGGCTATTTCCCATTCTATAAGAATCATGCATTTTTAGCCGTTAATTAACGGCGAAATATTTCCCACTATATAGGTATCATGCATTTTTAGCCGTTAAATAACGGCTAACTATTTCTCACTATATAAGTATCATGCATTTTTAGCCATTAATTAACGGCTAAATATTTGCCATACATATAAGAATACAGCTAAACTTAGCCGTTATTTAACGGCTAACTATTTCCCACTATATAAGTGTCATACCTTTTTAGCCGTTAATTAACGGCTAAATATTTCCTATAAATATAAGGATACAGCTAAACTTAGCCGTTATTTAACGGCTAACTACTTCCCACTATATAAAGTATCATGCATTTTTAGCCGTTAATTAACGGCTAAATATTTCCGATATATATAAGGATACAGCTCAACTTAGCCGTTAAATAACGGCTAACTATTTCCCACTATATAGGTATCATGCATTTTTAGCCGTTAATTAACGGCTAAATATTTCTCACTATATAAGTATCATGCATTTTTAGCCGTTAATTAACGGCTAAATATTTCCGATATATATAAGGATACAGCTCAACTTAGCCGTTAAATAACGGCTAACTATTTCCCACTATATAGGTATCATGCATTTTTAGCCGTTAAATAACGGCTAACTATTTCCCACTATATAAGTATCATGCATTTTTAGCCGTTACTTTTGGAATGGTTATGAAACCCGTCAGACTCCTTTGTTATATGTTTTTGTGGACTTGAAAGTGCACAACGTTCAAAAGAATTCCTATCATTTTGATTGTATTGACCAATAAAAACGTTGCATTAATTTATTCCGTAACAATTTGCCAACAGAAAACAAAGGATTGTGCACTTTCACGGTGCTTTGAAAATAAACTGCAGCACTGTTGTTTTTATCACTGATGTTTGCCGCTTTTCATAACCAGTCTCCTCTAATAACTATGGTTAAACCTCTATAAACAAAAAGGAATTATTTAGCCATTAATTAGCGGCTAAGTTTGACCTTCTCTCTAACCTATAGTGGAATTATTTAGCCGTTAATTAACGGCTAAGTTTAACTTCCTACACATATATAAAATAAAATGTTTAGCCGTTAATAAACGGCTAATTTTAACCTTCTTTCCATATATATGGAAAATGTTTAGCCGTTAATAAACGGCTAATTTTAACCTTCTTTTCATATATATGCGAAATGTTTAGCCGTTAATTAACGGCTAATTTTATCCTTCCTTTTATATATCTAGGAACTGTTTAGCCGTTAATTAACGGCTAAGTTTAACTTCCTGCACATGTATAAAATAAAATGTATATATATATGGAAAATGTTTAGCCGTTAATTAATGGCTAAGTTTAACCTTCTTTTCATATATCTAGGAACTGTTTAGCCGTTAATTAATGGCTAAGTTTAACCTTCTCTTCATATATCTAGGAAATGTTTAGCCGTTAATTAACGGCTAAATGTTACCTACTCTACAAATATTAAAGGAATATTTAGCCGTTGATTAATGGCTAAGTTTAACATTCTTTACATACAAGGAATATTTAGCCGTTAAATAATGGCTAAGTGTAACCTTCTCCTTATATATAGGAAATGTTTAGCCGTTAATTAATGGCTAAGTTTAACCTTATTTTCATTTATACAGGAAATGTTTAGCCGTTAATTAATGGCTAAATTTTACCTACTCTACATATATATAGGAGGAATATTTAGCCGTTATTTAATGGCTAATTTTCACTTACTACATATATAGAGGAAATGTTTAGCCGTTAATTAATGGCTAAATAATTTCTATAAAAAGGAAAATATTTAGCCGTTAATTAATGGCTAAATTCTCGGTTTCTAGAATATACAAAGTGACTTTATGGCTAAATTTTTTTTATAACTACAGTGTGAATTTATTGCAAATTTCGCATTTATATATACACCCCAATAAACGTGAACAGCCGACTTATTTGCATATCGAACGCATAAATCCGTGACAAGATGACCGGATTGTGTGACGAGCTATCGAATAGTGCACGCCCAGCTAGTGTTCTATTCCTTTTGCTCGATCATGCTTTATGCTGTGTCTACATACCCGGCAGCTGGGAAGTGTTTTCAAAAAAAACTAGATACCCGGCAGTCTGAAATCTCATAGAATTTCCACGAAATATCTCTTTTAATTCTTCTGAGAATTGTCTATCTTTGTTTAGAAACGCCAACCGATTTTAAAACCGTGAACTCCAATCGTGAGTCATACCACGAATTTAAAAAAGTGCGAAGAACAAAGCTCGAACAATTTGTCCTTTAAAAAACCAAAGAAAGAGAGGTAAAACCGCTTGGCATTTACGGCCATAGATTGAATACTCTCGGGAAGTTTCAATGATAGTTTTTGCGGATAAAAAAAACAGATACAGGTCTAACTGCCGGGTATCTACTAGTTTTTTGAAAAACCGTGCCGGGAGTCGAGATGTCCAAGCTCGAAAGATTTCTCAACTACAAAGCCAAAATCGCTTGACATTTATAATTTCTAAACACAGATAGACCATTCTCAGAAGCATCAAAAGAGATATTTCATGAAAATTCTATTTAATTTTCAGACTGCCGGGTATCTAGTTTTTTGAAAACACTTCCCGGCTGCCGGGTATCTAGACACAGCGTATACTTTATGCTCCTTCATGAGAGCCTGGAAACAGAATGATTTTCCTCAGGCAGGAACTCTGATAAAAAAAAAAAAGAAAGAAGAATGAGCAAAGTAGGCGATGGCAGCCATGCTGGTGATCGGAAACAATATAGAAATCGTTATCACGAAATTGAATTTGAGTAAAAAAACGATTAAGAATAAATTGATTGAAACAAGGGCAAAGACACGAACAATGGTGTGCGAACAGGCGTTACTTCAGTTCGCGTCGCTCCAGTAGCGCGAAAAAAAGAAAACGCAAAAAAAGTTACGCCTGTTCCACAGGCTAAAAAATGTAAGAAAGATTTTTACTTCTTCTCTGAAATGTACGGAGCCCAGTAAGTGCCATTCAAATTTTGCGCTCAATTTTTTCTGTCTCGACTTTTTTCTCGCCTTTAAGTTTTTTTCCCGACTTTTTTCTCGACTTTTTTCTCGACTTTTTTCTCGACTTTTTTCCCGACTTTTTTCTCGACTTTTTTCTCGACTTTTTTCCCGACTTTTTTCTCGACTTTTTTCTCGACTTTTTTCTCGACTTTTTTCCCGACTTTTTTCTCGACTTTTTTCTCGACTTTTTTCTCGACTTTTTTCTCGACTTTTTTCCCGACTATTTTCTCGACTTTTTTCTCGACTTTTTTCCCGACTTTTTTTTCCACCACTGATCACATACGCATGCGTCGATGGTTCATTTCGGCACGTGGGGAATAGGAACAACCACTCATTCCACGTTAAGTGGGTAAATTACCATTTTTTGGTGTCCATGGCAAGTTTTGGGGACTCAAATTGTTTTCCTATAATCATTTCGCTGAAAAATACTTGAAATATGCCCAAATAAATAGCGACAGTACTCCTTTGTGCTCCTGTAGACAGTAACTTTGAGGGAATCAAGGCCAAAAGTGTCCAAAAAATGCAATTTTGCTATGTCCACAGAGAGGGTGGGTATAGAAGGTTACAGTATATTTGTGCTTGTCGCCTTATACTATGGAAATTAATCAATCCAATGTCTCGGAAGGGACCTAAACTAAAGTCCTACATGATCATTTCTCACTGCAGGTCAGTTTTGTTGCATTTAACTACAGT